CTTGCCAAGAAAACTGCAGGGACTTGTCCAGGCAGTCTCCAAGAATTGGACACAACTGAACCGATTAAAAAAAAAAAGCTATTAGTATCCTGCATGTACCTCTTAGCTGCTGAAATGCAAGCAACAGTTACACAGTACAGGCCAGTGAATGGTGACAATGAAAGCAATAAACTATGTAACCCTCTAAATGAATGTGGTCACACAGAAAAATTATTCTGTTAGGTGACATGAACAGACGGATGAAAATGCAATGAGAAACTACAGAAAAACATGGCTGGGCCATTAGAAGACTCAAGAATGAATGTTTCATAAATATTTGCTTAGTCTGTTTCAAATACATGGTTTAAGCATAAGTCTATTCACATGAACCAGTGTAAAGGAATTAATCTAAATGCAAGTTTGATCTGATTGTCTATCATGGTAATTAGTGAAGAATGTAAGACTGATGGGAAATTCTGAATATGGGAGAGACTATTATGATAGTATCAAGAGTGGATCTTGGAAAAAACGGGCATGGAGAAAAGAAGTGAAAGAAACAAGAGTGAAAGTAAAAGAGGTACAAGAAGAATAAGCATGAGCCATTCTATAAAAGTATTAGAAGATATTACTATAATCTCCCATTGGTATGTATGGAAAGCAAATGTAAGGAAAGATGATGTGGAACTGCTTGGAACAGAGTGAAAAGAATTAAAGTAAAATTTGAGGGAGGTGATGTCTGTTAAACAGAAAGTATGTTATCATGGTGATTTGCATGATCACACATATGATTAAGATTAAAGCAAGGCTTTTGGGGTTGGAGAATATGAATAGCCACCAAATGATTCTAAAACATCCCTTGTTAGAAAACAGGCTGCCTGGCTAGATCAAAGAGAAAAAAGCAAGAGAGGTGGAAGGAGGAAGGAGGCACTCCCTTGTCTTGTTTCATAGCTGCTTGTCTTTATTCCCCCCTACTTTTCTGTGATCTGCTCAGTCCCAATGAGGCAGCTGCCCTAACTCCTCCCTGTGGTAGGGGCCACTGTGGCCATCCTTTTTACCTTGATTATCACCCTTACTTGAGCTTCCAGTCAGGGCTGAGCTGGCTGAGCAAGTGCAAAGTTTCCACCAGCCAAAGGGCCTCTCTCATTGATTAACATGTTCTGGTTGGGATCTCAAGTGAGTCAGGTGACACATGGGTTGGCCATAAAGGTGGCAAGCAGAGAACAGCAGCAGCAGCAGCAAGGAAGCAAGGAAGCAAGGAAGGAAGGAAGCAAGGAGCACCTGATATCCAGTGCTGGAGCAACAGTGTCACTTACATAGCAATATTATTATGCAAATAATATTTTTTTAGTAATGTTTTTAAATTTTGATGTTTTATGTATTTATGGTTTTAATGTTTTGTGTGAGTCGCCCAGAGTCCCCCATTGTGGGGAGATGGGGGGGTGAGAAATTGAATGAATGAATGAATGAATGAATGAATGGCATAAATCACAGCAGAAGGTATTGTATAAAATGTAAAGAAATGGGTAAAAACTGCTAAACAAGAAGTGTCAAGCTGAGTGAAATGGAATTTAAAAATAAAAGTGATGAAATGAAATAAGGAAATGCTAGAAGGAATGCTTTAGAAATCTGTATGGGAATGGGAATGAAATAATGAAGAATGGAACTGAAATAGAAAATAAAGCTATCAATGTCATTGTCCATGAAAAAAATAGGTAAAAGGAAATGATAAATGCTTAGGTTAGTCTCCATTCTGCCAGTAGTAGGAAAGCCCATGAGGATTACATTGCCGCAAATGCACAGAGAAACTCATCTGCCATCCTTAAATTCCTTAAGACAAGAGGTAGCCACTATATACCTACAGCACTCAAATTATTTGAAGCCAAGCCAATAGCACAACTTCTTTATGGTACCCAGCTGGCCCCTTCTCCAATTTTGCGCCATTTTAACTTGTACAATCCAAATTTTTTAGATCAGACCCTCA